CAAATATTTTTCAAAAAAAAAAAAAAACGCATGCATATAATGCAATAATACATTAAGAAAAATAAATCGTTTATAAAAGATTATGTTTAATTTTCTTAATGTTGTAATTAAAAAAATTTTCTTGTATATCTTTATTCGCTTTATATTGATAAATCGATGATTAATTAAGCCTCAGATTAAAAGTTTTCAGACGACAAATTATTTGGTAATTTGATAAGAATGTTATCCCGCTGTCTTTTATTTTTTGACAATTATTCTATGTATATTATATATATAATATATTCTCTGATATTCTAGAAGGAAAAACTGTTTAAGCCATATAGTCCCGTTCTTCGATTAGAATTTTAATCGCGTAAGCATAGCGAATAAGCGCGATGTATTTGCGCAGTTGCTTTCGGACGACCTCGAATTCTTGGTGACAGAACACGCTTGACATCGCTGTTTGTCTTCATCAATTGTGCCAACTGTCATAATATATTTTCCGCATCAAGTACTTTTCGACAGAAAATATCGTCGTCGTATTTATCATATATACAGACTATACTTCAATATTTATTTAAGAATTTTAACGCCGAATTGTCAATAATATTTAATATTTTTCGAATATCTCGCAATTTTACGTTCAAATAAATTTACACTCAATTAATGATTCCGGGTGAATCATCGAAAATGAAAGAGAGACAGGTCGGGGAAACGCTTTCATACGAATTTTATTCACTTTGATAATCATCTCGGATGAGTCATGCAATGTGAAATATATAAACAGATTTCCCTCCAGAAAAATATCAATTTTAAATAAATTAGAAAAAACTTAGAGATGAAAATAAGACCGTATAAGTCAGTTTAAAAAAATTACGGGAGATAATTATCTAGAACGTATTAAGATCCTTAATTATTTTCGCGAAATCTTCTCGATCGACTTTCGAATCCCACGCGAGAACGTCGCATTGCGTAAGGGACATGGACAAGTGCAACTGGTGCATTCGTGCGTTTCAGGTATCCTCATCACGTTCGCGAAGCACGAGAATGTCATCGAGGTGCCGGCGGGATCCTCGGCGCAAATAATGTGCCAGACCAAGTCGCCGATACGCGAATGCCAATGGTCCTGGCGGCAGCTGAATCAGTCGCAGCCCTGGAACCTCGACGTGAAATCATTCCCGGCCTTTGGTAATGATAGCACGGAATGCAGTATCAAGTTCAAAAACGTCCTGCCGGAGCAGGAGGGCTACTGGACCTGCGGTGCGCGAATCGACCCGAATTCCTCATTCACCCAGGCGACTCCCGTTCGATTTCTCATATCGGAAGGTATTGCTCTGATTAATTACGTTATCATTTTTTCACGTTTTAACGTGTGTTTTTACATTGACGTAACTTTTATTTTGCGCGTGCAAAAAAATTATGTAACAAATAATTACAGGGAAAATATAATTCGAGAAATTATAATAATAATATATTATCTATTTCATGTATCTTTTGGAGTTGGGGCTTTAGAATTTTATTCTGATAACATAAATATAAGGCATTTTAAATCATGGAAAATGATCAGTTTTGAAAACTTGGTATTTCTCAAATTTTCCATATCTTTAAATTATGTCTTAAATAAAATGCAATTGTAACAAAGATTTTTCATTAATAATAGTCGATAATAATCTTGCATCATGAGATATTTATTTAATCAGTTCTGCGACGATTCTGTAATAATTATTAGAGTTTCGAAAAATGGTTTCGAGTCATCGAAAAATATTTCAACGTTTACTTGACTTTATTACTTTTACTTTATTACGTTTATTTACTTTGTGTCGTAACAACACCGATTGATCCTGTACTAGGCGACCTGTTTGTCGATGAAAAAACAAAAACCGTGAAGAGAGCTTTCGTTTCCCTTTTATAGTCGAGTTCGTGCAGTTGTCGCGCGGCGTACAGGTTGCGGCCGGCGAGTCGGTCTTTCTACGATGCCTGGCGAACAAGCCGGTGGTACAATGCGAGTGGTCGTGGAGGGCGTCGAACTCGAGCAAGGAACCGCTGCTGATCAAGAAGTTCAGTCCAAACAAGGATGCCGATCACGACTGTTCCGTGCGATTCAAGAACATACTGTACGAGGAGGAAGGACTATGGACTTGTGGGGTCCGTTTGACGCCAGACGGGATCCTGCATACGGCGCCCGCGGCCACTGTCAGCCTCTTGCCTACCGGTACGGCGACGATCATTTTTTAATTAAGAAATAAATACACCCGAAACTCTCGCAATCGCGCGTCGTTATCGAGCGTTCGCTCCGATCGCTATAATTATGGGCGATAGAATACTCGTTGTATAATTACGTTAACGTTCTCGCAATTACGAATTGATTGACGTCTTCACGTGAGATGATGTAAAAATTGATTGCTTGCATAAAGAAAAAATATTAATACGGCGCGTAACTCTGTCAGATGTCGATATAAAAAATTCGAAGTAGTAATATATAGTAATATCTGTTTTAAACTTTTGTCTCTCTATGTAATTGCACATTAAAATGCAGAAACTATACATTAAGTCCAATTGCAGTTGCATGAAAGAAAAAGCAATCGGGAGTACAATTCGACTCATCGATTTCATCGGAATTCGAAGTAAACTTATATACTTTCCCTTCATACATTTCACCTTTCTCTCGCATTTCGCGTTTAATTTATGTAGCACTTCATACCCAGCGCGAAACGTAATGTAATTGCTAATTACATTGAATCCGATTTAATCTTCTGATATTCCTAGAAAAACGCGTTGGTGTTAATCAAAAACGAAAAACCTTCAAGAGCTATCAACCGTTAAAATAAAAAAAAAAAAAACCTCGCGGCTTCAATTATCAAAAATATTTCCTCAAAACAATACTTCTATTATTTTATAAATTTCTCGAGAGTCGAGAAAGTTGCGTTTTTTACACGTTCGCGATATAAAAGAATCCATCACGTTATCAACCCGAATGCAAACGTGCTTCTTATACGCTCCTCGTGCAATTTTCTTATCATGACCAATTTTAGCTAAGGTGAGCTTCGTTGATGTGCCGACGGACACGGCGGTGCCTATAGGCACAGAAACCTTACTCAAGTGCATCACCAGCAGCCGTGTGGAGAAATGCACGTGGACCTGGAAGCCGTTAAACGGCATTGATTCCGAGAACGTCATTGTCGACGAATTCCCCAGCAACGGCGATCTCGGCCGCGACTGCTCGCTTCATCTTCCGCAGGTGCACTCGGAGAAACAAGGTAACTGGGCTTGCCAAGTGTCCATCGCATCCCTCAACACCGTCCTAACGTCGCCATTCGCCAAACTCACGGTCTTCGAGCAAGGTAAAGTACTTGGCGAGAATTCGCATATAATCTACCTTTTCTTCTCAATTCGTCATCTTAATTAATTCTAATATCGCTAATTCTCTGATATCTCCTCCCAGACGAAGTGAAGTTCTCAGAGCTGTCGCAGGACATTCAGATCTCCTCCGGTAGTAGCGTCCTGTTACGCTGTGTGACATCCTCGGCGGTGGATCAGTGCCGTTGGTCGCTCACCCCGGTCAACTCCAATACCACTGTAGTGGTGAAGCAATTTCCGGCGGCCGGCAACGAGGCGCGAGACTGCAGTGTCCGTTTGAGCCATGCGCTCGCCGAACAGGAGGGACTTTGGACCTGCGGTGCCAGGATACACGGCCGGCAAAACTATACGGACGCGCCGCCCGCGAAGCTGAGCCTCCTCGAACCAGGTATCATCGAGTCCTAAAGACGGCCGCTTCTCCACCGCCGCGGTGAAGGGTGGATGCACCATTAATCGATCGTCGCGCGATCCCGACGCGCTCGGCTTGGGCTCGGTAAATCGCGTACTCGTTCATCACGATTGAGTACCGTAAATTAAAAAGGATCTTCAAAGTATTGAAAATCCGGAAAGCGTAGAAAATTTGAAAATACTATGCCAGAAATAAAATTGTATTCAGCACTCGTCTGCTTTTTTGTTTTAGATTGCTGATATTTAGTCGTGTCTTAGAAGTATCACTTGCTGACGCTTTTTTTTTTTTTTTGGACTCTGCATTGTTCAATTCTTTTCTGCAATAATTAGATCCTTTTTAATTTATAGCATTCAATTATTGTAATAAATGTTTTCGCATATTCGCGCGTCGTGTCAGTGTGTGAAGATTATAATACTCTTGAAGCATCATCGATCATCGAAAAAACTATATTAGATTTTAATTTAGTTAGAATTTTTTATTTTAACAGCATGTTTAATTCGTGATTTAAACGGATAATCAATGATACACCGCGTGAGTAAAGTTCATCAATTGTTTCATTAGAGAAGATTCTGTCATTGAACATATCGAGCGTAAGGTACATTGCATGGACTATAATAAATTTTTGCTTCGCGTGAGAAGCATCTCGCGTGCGATAGAAATACTTAAGGACCTTGTGTATACGAGCCGTCACGTATACAAGGATCTCTTATGTGCGATGATTTACGTGTAGAAGGACTTTGTTCCTTCGCATCAGTCAGGCATCTGTTTCATGAGATTCTAATTGACAGCCAACAAATAATGAGAACAATCATGATACATAATAATTCAACAACATATTGATATTGGAATCATACATCGGAGATTTTTCTCTTACTGATTCTTCATTTTTACGCCGCCACGCTTACGATCATCTTTTATGTCAAATATTTAATCATCATTTTGTGGGTCGAGTTTCATGAAATACGCCGAAATACTTTCGCCCATAGCCTGGCTAGAGTCGCTTCTGCATTCGATCGATTAAAACAATATACAATAAGTGTTACTGTATAATAAATCGTAGGACACACATGTATTATATATATTTTAGGATCCGTGGCCTGTGCATTATCGCGACGACTGTCGCAACCAACCGCGATCGCGAGTGCACCAAGACGAGCTGCACGTGAGCTTTGCACGCGTCGCTGCGTGTGCGTGTACATAAGTGTAGGCCATGGATCCTGACGCACGTCTTTGCAATCTGCGGTAGACGAAGCTTCACGGCACGAGCATCGATTGAACGGTTTTACATGCTGTAGTGGATTAATAGTCGGAAATTCTTGATGCCAAATCATTATTGAACGAAATTAGTAAGTTATTAACGAATGCCATCAGTATATATTTTCTGTTCCCAAGAATCTCGATCTCGCTGATTATTCGCAGAAAAATACATATATCATATAAATAATTGTTATATTCGATATTACTAATAGATGGCATAAAATTTTGCAAGAATGGAGTTCTCTGAAGGATTTAATTTTACTGAATAAATTGCTTTTGCAATTTTTTCGTTTATTCTTTTTATATAAGAACAGCGCATGTAATATCTCCCGCTAATAAGGAAGATCAATATCAATGTATGCAAAATTGTTTCACGACATTGATTACTCAGCTCTCATTATGACACATGGCTATCCAGCTGTCCAATCGAAAGACAAACTGTGCATAACTCATCATCCCACATCTGTATATGTGTATTCCGAGTATCCGAGGATCCACGCTCGGTATCGGCGGAAAAGGCGGAAAGCAATCGGCCAGGATTTGCAGCGAAAGTGAAAGTATATACCGATCGATCGCGGATCCTCGCGAACGCCCCGAAGACTTTCGTGGATGGGAGGTGATGGATCTGCATGCCGATGAAGCTTCATGCCATTAGATTAACGGTGGAAGCGCGAGTGCTTGTGAGCGAAGCTGTTGGACTGCCCATGGGCATCCCACGTGTGTACTAGAGAAAATATCGCGACCGCGATTTTATTATATCCGTACGAAAATGATCTTACACTGCACGATCGTCACATTTCATTGATTAAATTGTGTCACATAATTTAACGCGCGGCGCTCATTGAAGAATAGCCAAATCTTTTAAGATGTCTAGGATAATAACTTTCGTGTTCTGTTTCAGTATCAAGCAGTATTATATATCTTATTAAGATATAACACGATAATAAAATATTCACAGTAAGCGCAAAAATTCAGAACTATCAGTTTTAATACACAACACGCGTACACATATATAATAGACTTTTTATATATATTATCAAATATTTTCTACACACTTAACAAAATTATATTTATATTATTTAATTACGCGCATTTCTTAAATAGATACACTAAATCTCCATTGAACAGAACACGAGAGTAAGTGCATATTTCTATTTTTTTTTTTTTTTTTTTTTTTTAAAAAAAGTGTAAAGTGTAATCCAGATACATTTTCATGTCACTTACATGTAAAGATATTCGAATATACGTTTATGTCATCATTCTTTGCTTTACCACAATACGTAATATCCATTTTTAACTTAATTACATTGTCATCCATTTGCATTTACTAGCATTAAATCGTCCTAGCTTATCATTCAGTCTTGGCGCATCCGTTTCTCAGTCGCGATTCTCCGATAAACCGTGAGATTTATCGGTTTGTCGTGCGCCGCGTGGTAAACCACGACATTAACAATCTTGTCAGCTTTTCTTGTATCTCCACTAATTAAGGAGGCTTCACACGAGTCGCGATTTATTGTGATTTTCTCCTTAGTAATCCATACATCCACGTCATTATTATGCAATGCATATCGCCGCATTAACTTTCTCATTCCTTATTATGTATATTACTACGTGCTAAGTACATTTTATCTGAAAAATTAAGCAAATATTAATCCACAGTTTCGTATAAGATTAGAGCCTTTAATGTTACAGCACGATTTCTTCAATCTATAATTAAGAATAATAGTGGCACACATAATATAGAAAAATGAAAAATTTATTAAAATGAAGATTCCAAACAAAATTAAATATATTATTGCATTATTTAATATTAATATTTAATATTAATATAAAAAAAGGTTGAAATATAGTCTTTTAGCTATTAAAAGATAAGTTCAATGTTAAAGAATTATCGGATTTTTTTATTTTACACTTTCGTTGTCGATTGATACATTGAATTGCATTTTCCATTTAGCATTAGCAATGCCATCCATCCCTCCTATTTATATTCTCGACGAAACTGCGCATAAATAATTTCGCATTTAGATAATAGACTAATAATTGTTTATTGTGTGTGTTTGCATTATCCTACTTTATTCAAATTATTGTAGATAGTTTAGTAAAATTACAAGTGCTACAAATCTTTTTTTATAATATATGTATTTTAGATAAAAGCGAGAAAAATACGCCAAGAAATTGTCCAAATGAGTGTTAAATGACGATGTTATCTAACAAAGTTGCTCACAGGCACATTTAATGTTGCAAACTGCGTCTCTCGTCACACACATATCATGTTATTTATTGTAGAAAAATCATCTCCCCCTTAAGTTAACATCGCGTTTTTGTCCATTATGTTTATTGCTTAATTCATAGCCAATCTTGACATATGTCTGTTATATATACTCAATTATTACTTATGACTACTTTAATGCTAAGTAAACAATTTTTAATGTTAAGGTTTTCAGCGTCCAGAAAATTCATGTCCACAACGAGTAACGCTCGTTCAGCTCATTGGTCAATAATGCAAAAACGTTATCGTGTATCACTCCATCATTCGTATATTTTAAGAATAATTTAATTTTTTTAACTCTTAACTATTTAAATTTCTTCTTCTTAATGTCTGAACATTACAGAAAATTTTTAATAAATTTAATTTAGAGTCCATAATCAAATTTTAGAACATTTTATTACTAATTTTAATGCAATAGTATAAAGACGTTAAAGTATCATATCTTATATCAGTATTGTTTTCTCTGAAGAAAAAGATGACATATATATAGACCAAACTAGAACGACGATTTACTTGCAAAGTGTATGAATCTTCATGTGCCATTAAGTATCGTTAAGTCGCGCTAAATATTCGCGCATTCTCGAGCGAGTTTTTGAGTCTCTGAGTTGCTGTAAACTTTTTTTTGTTTTGTCTATAAAAAAAATAAAAAAAAGAAATAAATGATAGTGCGAAAACGTTATGATAATCTTTTCACTTCCATCATCTCGGTGTTACTAATTGCATTAGAGTTGGAAAGCTCTCCTTATCCGAGTCGTAAATTGTAAAAATTAATCAATGAATTTCCGGAAAAATATTATAAACACTAATTTTCAAGGAAACTACAGAATTTTATGAAAAAATTCACATAATTATTATATTTCATAAAATTGTTGTAATAAATGTATTAATAATAAATGACATTTTAATGCATAAATTACTATCCTCATAATAATTTTACATTTTAATATAAAAATCATTACTTAAAATTTATGTTATTTTATTTTTATTTCATAGTTTACGTTTTTTATTTCATAGTATACTTACAATGTGTATGTATACATATATTTGTCTTTTTTTTAATATCTGAGTACATCTGACAAATTTGACGCTTATAATATTTCTTCTGGAATTTCAATTTCATTAATGTACGCAAGATGAGCACGCTCTATGTAATACCGTTTAAGCACTTGTCAAACCACGAAAATCATCGATGCACAAACGAATGGTGAATGGTGGTCGTCGAATAATCTATACCGAAGATGTAGCGGCTTTTGGTGAGTGGGACGAAAATTTCAAAAAAAAGCTTCTCCGATGGCCTCAAGAAATATTCACATTAAAATGTAATTTGTAGCTAATGTATAAAAATTAATGCAAAGAAATTGCAATCGTATAAGTGTCTTATATTTACACATTTCCTCTCATTAAATCTTTATTAGCAATCAAAATCCGTAGAAATAATATTTTATCGAAACCGTGGATTCTCCAGTAAATTCTTGAGGCTATAAGGATTAAAATAAAGGGTTTAATTCACGAAATATCAATCACTTTTAGAACCTGTCACTATCGCAGTTTGGGCCACGCCTCATCAGATGGTTACTCTTGCATGTAGGATCGGAGCTGTGTCATCGGAGGCCAAATGCCACTGGATCCACGTTCCAAATATTCACATACATCAGAACTCTAGCAAGCTTGCAAAGAAAACGAGGTAATATATATATATATATATCTCATCGTATATATTATTCTTCTATCATGTATATCCATCTAATATATCTTCATATTTTTATAACAATGCAGTCATAACATGCAAATGGATTATACCACGGGTATCTGCAAGCTAATCTTCAAACCGGATCATACCGATCTAGGAAAGTGGACTTGCAGATTTACTCTAACGAATGAAAACACCGACATCGAGATAGGAAGCGCGACACTCGTTCTGCTCAACACCTTAGCAGGTTTGCTAACATTTTAATAAAAGACACACATTCTTCTTCTATCTTTATATCTTTCTTGTGATACGAAGGATAAAATTATTCATGTGTCTTACAGATGAGAAACTAGGATGGATCGTGGGTGCTCTAACGGCCATGATTTTATTCCTGATGATAATAGTCGTAGTGTTAGTGGTGTGCAAGGCGCGAATCTTCGTCCGCAAGACATCCGAAGTTCTGGAAACCTTACCTTCCAACAAAAGCAAACAAAGCGCGAGATTCCATAACGAAAATTATGCCGAAGATCAGGGAAAGATAAATCTTCAACTCGCCGGGAACAGTAGCCGTACATCGAGCATCAAAAGCATCTTACCTAATAGAAGTCCGCGCGTACAGAATCGCACGGACAAAATTCATGCAATGCCGTCCAAAGTATTTGAAAACGTTGGAATGTAACATGATTATTTTTTTCGTCAATGTAAAAAAATTTTCCTAAATATTTTTTTATTTCAGAAGTTAAAACTGTATTACTGTAGATAAAAAGATATATATATTTTTTATTATAATAGAGGTATAAAAAAATGGAAAAATATTTGTTTTTCATATGTAAAATAGCGAGGGATTAGAAAAGTCAAATAGTATTTTTTCCATATAAAAATTACGAACAAACATTGTTTTATATATATAAATTTTTTAATTGTTTGATAAATCTGTATAGATATAATTTTTTAATTATAGCATATAAGAAAATAAATACGTAAATACATATAAATAAATCTGTACATAAATTATGTAAAAATTGGAAAATATATTTTTGTATGATAAATCATTATTCGCTTATAATAAACATGCATAAGTTCAAATATTTACATTTTCGTTTCTAGAGCATCTAGCTGAGTTTGAATTTTCTCTAAATTATAATAAAGATCTGTCAACTGTTTTTTGTCAAATTCCACTGTTAGTGTAGATGTCTTATCACCAGTTAGACCAAGTTGAAGTAAAGCTACAGGTCGTGCATCTTTGGAAATTGCAGAGGACGATGACTGAACATTTAGACACCAATTGATATCTTTTACCTTGTCAAACAATATAAAAGTATAATTAAGTCCTTTGCTTAATTCGCTTAATAATGATCAATCTATATTAATTGCCATTAATTAAAGTTTCCTTCTATCTATGTTCATGTTCAAATACCTGGGTAGGAAATATAGATTTTTGCCTAAGATTTTCTACAATGCCTTTGCCATAAGTCATCCATGCATTTGTAAAGATTGATATTTTCTCTTCATCTATCTTAAAATTGTCCTTCATGACTGTTTCCATGAGAGATGGTTTGACAACATTACATGCAGCTTGCGTGTAAATTGATGTAATAGTATCTAACAGGAGAATTAACTCATCTTTTGTTAGATCTAAAGAAACCAGCAATTTTTCTTCCTCCTCCTCATTGAATACCTTTGTATCAATGCTAGATTGCAAGCTCTGGCATATATGGTTGACAAGAAGACGGAATTTGCTATTATTATCCAGTCGAGCTACTATTGTTAAACCTTGCTCTAATCTATAATAAATGATACAAGTGAAAATTGCATTTGTGTTTTTCTGTTAAATGATAAATTATGACTATCCTAATTAAGATGATAACAAAATACAGTCACATACGCAATTATTTATAGAATTCTGCATGTTGGTAATAAAGATGAAATGCTAGTATGTATACATACTTTGAAGTTACATTGATCCAAGCAGCCATTATAATTGGATAAATAAATCCTTATATATGATTTTTCTTTCATAATATCTTAATTTTTATCATAACTCTATCTCTCACGCTCGTAAAAGAATCTTGGAAACTAGTACTACACTGTGCATGTTATAACAATCATGAATGAAACCTCTGACATTTCTCAGTTGCTAAAAATGCTCCATGTTCTCGCTTCTCGCTCTCGCTTTTACCACGAATCATGCATGAACTAGATGTTCGTATCTCAATATGGATACACAAAAAAATAACTAACATATGTGTCGAAGGCTATAAAAAATGATATGATTTATATTTTGCAATAGAGAAATTAAAGTTAGAATACAATGATAATACAATGATGTCAAATTTTTACACATATATGTAATGCATGATGAGATCAACCTTGAGACGTTTGTGTTCCTAAACTCGACGAGAAATGTTAAAATCTTTTTGTCCACGATTATGTGTATATCTGTCCAATTAAAACTAAATAGACTTTGATATTTACATAAATATTTTTTTGCATATTATATATATAGAAACTGCTTGTTTGAAGTTTCACACATGCACACGTGCAAATCTTTATATACATATATATTATGCATTCGTATTCGAAATAACACATCTTTATATCCTATTATCATTGTTCTGTTATCTATGTGATAAGGATTCTATTTTGATAGTTACACAGTTACGCAGTCGCTCTCATCTCTTGCATTCATTTTACAAGCGAAAATGTCATCAGAAGCTTATGATGTCAACTATGACAAAGTAATAGCTTATATATGTGTATTAAGTAATATAATTTTTATGACTGTTATCTATGTGATAAGAATTCTATTTTGATATATATAGTTACACAGTTACGCAGTCGCTCTCATCTCTTGCATTCATTTTACAAGCGAAAATGTCATCAGAAGCTTATGATGTCAACTATGACAAAGTAATAGCTTATATATGTGTATTAAGTAATATAATTTTTATGAAATCTAAAAATTTGATAATTTATGAATTTATCGAATTATTCTAAATCTATTTTTTTTTTTTTTTTACACAGGAACATCCAAGAAATCTTATTCCAGAACTGTGTAGACAATTCTATCATCTTGGATGGGTGACTGGTACAGGAGGCGGTATCTCCATCAAACATGAGTTAGTATATTTGCAATAATATATATATTTCAAAAAGAATTTATTGTTATTTTTATGAGAAAATGTTAGCGGAAATATAAAAATGTTTGTTAAAATTTTTGTTACAGAGATATGATCTATATCGCTCCTTCTGGTGTACAAAAAGAGCGAATGTTGCCCAATGATATGTTTGTGCAAGATATCAATGGAACAGATTTGGAGTTGCCACCACCAGAAAAGAAATTGAAAAAGTCACAATGTACTCCACTATTTTTATGTGCTTATTTAAGGAGGAATGCAGGTGCTGTTATTCATACACATTCTAAATTTGCTCTAATGGCAACATTATTATGGCCTGGAAAGGAAGTCAGACTCACTCATCTTGAGATGATAAAAGGTATTCAAATTATTTTAAAAAAACACTTTACATTTGAAAATGAGAGGAATTCGAAGATGATTTCAAATAGTTTAATTAACAGGTATATGGAATCAGAAAGAAGGTAGAACATATCGTTATGATGAAGAATTAGTAATACCGATCATAGAAAATACTCCTTTTGAGAGAGATTTAAGAGATGATTTAGATGACATTATCGTTCATTATCCTGAAACTTGTGCAGTATTGGTACGCAGGCATGGGATTTATGTGTGGGGTGATTCTTGGCAGCAGGCAAAAACTATGTAAGTTACTTTATTCGTATATTACCAAATGTTTTCTTGTAGTAAAATAAAAT